ACATCGCGAGCAATATAAATTACATCACCCATGTCCATCATATCTAAATAGAGGACTACTACCCTAGTTGGTGACAACCTTATAAAAATTCTGGCTGCTAATGACTAAGTAGAAGTAAAAACTTTCTTTTGGACGCATTGATCATGCCTCAGTGGTCATCATGCAATCATCGTTAGCCTATCATGGTTTGAACGAAATGCTAAAAACACTATTTGGATAACTATTTTAGGCTGTAAAAGATTTATTGAAACTAAGTAACCTTTTGCGCCTCTACTTTTTCACCATAAACCTGAAGGTAAGTCCCTACAGATCTACTTATTTCCAATTCTCTAACGAGAAAGTTGGGTTACAATGTCCACAAATCAATGTTCCGAAGCTTATGTCAATCATAGCCTAAGTTGAAATAACTCACTCCCCAGGAGGAAAGTCTTCTCATGTCTACACTTTTCTCAATGGTTGCGACTTTTCTGTATCCTAGCGAGCCTTATCCTCAACAATGACTTATCCAAATTGCGCATACCTCAAACAGTTTTCGCCGTCATAATGGAAAAGTCACCAAATTATAGAAATTATTAATCCTCAAAGACTTTGTCTAACTACGCAACATTGATCCACTTTCTAAAAAACAGGGGACTAGAGCATTTGGCATATCCTAGGCTCTTTTAGTCATCTGCACACCATTGAGGAAAGTGTAACTTTCTCCAAGACTTCCTCCTGGGGAGTGAGGTTATTTCAACTTAGGCTATGATTGACATAAGTTCGGAACATTGATTTGTGGACATTGTAACCCAACTTTCTCGTTAGAGAATTGGATAAGTAGATCTGTAGGGATTTACCTTCAGGTTTTATGGTGAAAAGTTAGGAGCGCAAAAAGGTTACTAGTTCCAATAAATCTTTTACAGCCTAAAATAGTTATCCAAATAGTGGTTCTTAGATTTCGTCAAACCATGATAGGCTAACGATGATTGATGATGACCACTGAGGCATGATCAATGGTCCAAAAGAAGTTTTTCTCTACTTAGTCATTATGAGCCAGGAATTTATAAGGTTGTCACCAACTAGGGTAGGTAGTCCTCTATTTTAGATATGATGGACATGGGTGATGTAATTTATATGCTCGGATGTACGATCCTTAGGGATTGTTTTGGTAAAATTCTCGGTTTGTCTTCAATGACTTACATAAGGAATATCCTAGAATGATTCTAGATGTAAAATTGCAAACCCATTGACTTACCTATCGGTAAAAGCCAGAGCCTTACCTATTGAGTGTATCCTCGGATTGTCTTTGGGAGAAACATATGACCTATATTCCTTGATCATTTCTTTGTTGTGGGAGCCTAAAGTACGCTATGTGGGCGTATTCGGCATGATAAGTGTTATCTTTGGTAAATGGTCAACTGAGTTGTTTAGACATTGATCTTACTCATTAGACTGTGGATAGAATGCTTTAGTAGTAGTATATTAATTTGCTCCTTGTAAGATTTAATGCGCTAGTTGGGCGCATCAAGAATGAACGCAAATTGGTCACCAAAATATCTTTAGAGAGGTTATTGCGCAAGAGGTAGTGATCTTGAATCACTTTATGTGAGGCGCACATGGTGGATTCCGTTGTATATACTTATCGCAAGAGGTGCTGATAAGGTTTATGTTTGGAATCTAGAATTGTGATCTTGAATCACTTTGTGTGAGGCACACATAGTGGATTCCGTTATATATACTTATCGCAAGAGGTGCTGATAAGGCTTATGTTTGGAATCTAGAATTGCGCAAGTTGTGGTCAAATTTTTTTTTTTAAAATCGATCACTTATTTTGAGATGATGAGATGTTGACACTATCATGGTTTGTGTCATAATGATTGGCTCACTCACACGATTGGCTCACTCACACGAGCAATCGCCCTTGGCGCTTGGGAGCGAGCAAGGATGAGACTAGTGGTTTATTTTTATTTGGAGCTAAGAGAGGCTTAAAATTATCCACTATGTATGTCGCCTTGGTTACAACCAAGATGAGGTCGTGTTAAGTACCAAACATGGATGTAAGTACCTACTTTCCATGTTGTGCCTGCTATGATTAGCCAGATGCGAGATCTCATTTGGCGCTTAGAAGGCGAGCAAATAGAGAATTCGGGTTAGGCGCTAGAAAGCGACTAGACTAAGATCTGTACGGTGTATCGAGTATGACGTCACTTTTTTGGAAGAGTTACTCCACTGTAACATGTATTCATACTATATGTGCTTGGCGACTGAGTAATGAGGTGAGAGAATGGATTCCTATTTCCTCACCGTGTGAGTCTTGCATGTCATTATTGATATGACTTTCATTTATGTACCCTTTTGTGACTTTTGACTATGTCATAAGGTAAGGGGTTGATGTTCTGCTACTTTGGTATGTTGCTTGCGGTCATGTATGATTCGGCCTTAAGGGACATCACTAGGAAAGCGGTCAATCCTAAACTAAATGGCATGAGGGCAAAGGGAAGATCATCCAGTATTACACCACTGTTGTATATTCACTGCCGGCAACTCACATCGCTTTGTATGAGAGGTGGATTGACTGTGAATATATTGCAAGAATTGAGAGGGTCAAACATGCTCTTTTTGCGGGATTAGAGATTTTTTTTTGGACCGGTGTAATTAGACGGGTCTGGGGTATATGAGATACGATTTCTGTTCTGTTTGGGTTGATGTCTCTATGTTGACTCATTTTGAGTTTCTAGTATAGAGATCCCACATGCAGGTGTTCTCAGCAGTCGCACGGTGCAGTGGCTAGTATGAGATTGTTCATTTTTTGGGGAGATTGAGATAGAGATGTGGCAGTGTCATGCCAACTCATGTCCAAGTGGGAGATGTTAGAAATTGGGCGCCCATGTGACATGACCCTTTGAACCTTTTGAACCTTATCCATGTAAGTTTGAATTTGAATTCGAATTCAAAACTTATTTGGATAACCACTCAGGATATCCATGTCTATCATATCAACTGATATGGATAGATGAGATATTATCCTATATATCTGATATGATATGGGATATGGGTGATTAAGAGAAAAACAACGTATGTTGTATGTTTTTTCCATATACTGACTCTCTCTCAAAATACAACGATCAAAAGCAATTTTTGCACTGTGACTTGTGTGGGTGATATTCATTCTGTAATGTCACTTCATTGCTGGGTTGATTGATTAGATTCGGGAAGCACGTGATTTATCCACGAGATCCTTCAATTCAGACTCTGCAGAAAAAGGTATGACTATAATTTTTCATCTGCTGCGTTTACCTTAGATTTACAGAAAGTGTATACAAATCCTCATGTTTGTTAACCTGTTTAAGCCCATCTTCTCAAGCTTTCAATAAATAAGTACTCCTATAATCACATTTAGCCAAAAAGAGAAGGGTACACGGAAATTATTACTTTATAGTGCATATTAGTTTATACATTTTGACTGGTTTCTAAAATCCATGAAGGACACAACTACTAGTGTCTTACCTAAGAGTATACGGTTTTATTTTTAAATTCAAGCTCTTAATGGAGACCCATAATAATAAGATGGGTTCAACAACAAATAATTTTTCTTCATGCTAACTTGATATTGAAAAATAAAATAAAAAAATAAAAAGAAATATTAATTACTAAGGAAAGTAACCTAACCTAACATTCTGTACTGATGGACAAACATTCAGAATGTAGACAACTATTAAGGGGCTAACATGTCCGAAAGATTTTCTTTATTCATGAGAGGTTGCTCTTATACCCTAAAACTAAGCCGGCCAATTCCTCTTTTGCTTTCTTTTCTATATCTCTCATGGAATCTTCCCACCACCAAGGACCCTCACTGCCCCTTGTATAAATGCTACTGTTCAAGAGTGACATTTAGGCTTCTCTCTCTCTCTCTCTCTCTCTCTAGATTGCTAAATATTTACAATATCAGTTTGAGAATTCTGAGTTATGGGAAAGTGTGGAATGGTGTGTGCTTGTGCTTTTCTTCTAGTTTTGATTCTATGTAATGAGGTTTTTGTGGGTGTTGATGGAAGGCATTTGAAGGCTAGGACATGCAAGAAATGCATGAGGGGATATGGTAAGAATAATATGAAGGCAACAATGGGTAGTGGTGGTGGTAACAAGCCATCCGCTGGAAAGCCACTGACAGATACCGCCAATAAGGTGGAATATGCCGACGATTTTCGACCAACACAGCCAGGTCACAGCCCAGGAATTGGTCATTCTCTCAACAATTGATCTTCTTTGTATATAAATTAGGTTGTTTATAATTCATTGTAATGTGCCATTTTAACTGTATATATAAAATGCTTTTGCTTTTAAGCCCTCTCTCACTCTCTCTCTGTGGACTCTTTAGCTTGAAAAGGGGGAAGAAAGTCTATGAAGCAGATCTCCTAAATCCTTGAAAGGGTTATGCAAATATAGTGAAAGCAATTTGGGGATTTCAAAAATGAGCAATAGAATAGTGTAAATATGTAAAGGCAAAAAATTTATTCATGTATGATATGAGTAATAGAATAGTGTAATAGTTTATTTATTCATGTAAAAAGCAAAAAGAAAAAAAAAAAAATCATTCATGCAAAAGCGAAGGGGTTTAAAATAGTACAACACAATTACATTAAGAGAAGTAAAGAAGTATTTGGTTTATTTTAATCTACCATAAAATATAAAAATAAACATAAACAGAACTCTCTCGCTTCTGTCTCTTACTCTATATATAAATATATATCAAATTCTTATCTTTTTCTTTTATAAATATTGAAACTTTTAAGAACACTCATCATTTACATATGATTTTCATTTTTATGAAAAAAACAGTTTTTAAAAAATTTGAAAACAAAGTTTTGGTGTTTCTTAAAATACAAGTTAATTTTGGAGAAAATTCCTAAAAATAATTTCCTAAAATAGTTCGTCAAACAAATTTTTATTTTTAAAAAAACAAAATATTAAAAAAACAAGTTGGCAAAAAATATCATTTCAGTGAAAAGTACAAAAAAAAAAAATAAAATAAAATCAGCTAAGTGGAAAACTTTATATGAACTTCTCTTCTTAACTTGCAAAGTTTTTCACTAATGAGATACTAGTATTATTTTCCCTATTTCCTAATGAAATGATTTTTTTTTTTTGATCGACAAAAAGTATTTTTTATTGATGAAACACATATAAAGTATATCAATAAAGAGGAGTTTGGAGCTAATTTAAGCTTCAACCTCTTAGTTGGTGAGAGACCAACAAACAGAGCAAAGCAAAAAAACTAGCTAGCAGTCCACTGCTTAACAAACCAACACACCCAGACCATGCAACCACAAAAACTTAACAGACAACATCAGCAGAATATTTCAAAATACAAACCAAACAAGGCTTTTGTGTTTCTGTTAAATATATATATATTTTTACAAGGATTAGATCATATAAACATTTTAACATATGTATCTTATGATTGTAGATTTTTTGGAATGGGGAAAAAAAAATAAAAAATTGAAGACATAGGATCTCCACAAATTAAATTGAAACTGTTAGTAATCTATATCTATACTTCTATTTAATCAGGACATTTAGTTTAGTAGTTGTGTAACAATTTTTGAGATTGTGTAATAATTTTTATAGTGTGAAGTCTTAGGTTCAACTCTTATGAAAAAAAGTGTGATTCCTTTTGTGATAGTTATTTATTTCCCCCAATTATATATAAATATTTCTTATACTTATAATTATTCTTCTATCGATTGAAAAAATAAAAACAAAAATCTATACTTCTATTTAAAACAACAGGGTATTGGTTATTGGAGATACCTTATTGTAAAATTTTCAAATTATTGAATTTATAAATTATAAAAAAAAAATGTCCTGAAAGTATTGTCTTTGATCTTATGATAATATCTCTTAAATATTTAATTTATAGAAACTAAATCAATATAAATTTTAAAATACAAGCACTACAAAAAATTAAAGTTTTAGATACCAAAATTTAGGAACAAAATTATTTTTTAGGTATCAAATATTATATTTTTAGCAACGAAAATTGAATATTAGTAATGACTATTATCTTTTTGGGACCAAATTTTTTATCTTAAAAAATAAACCTTTTTGAGAGCCAATTATTGTCTCTAAAAGTTTATTTATTAGTGACATTTTCAAAATTTTGTCCCTAAAAGCCTTATTTTTGACTTTTCGAAACGATTTTTTAACGACTATTTTCATGACGATAGAAATTGGTTCATAAATGTCTTTTGCAACAAAATTTTTACTTCTAGAGACTAAAAAATTTGATTTCTAAAACTCTTATATGTTGTAGTAAAACATATGCAACTATTGATTCATTTACCCATGAAAAATAAATTAAGGCCTCGTTTGGGAAGTTGTTTTTTTAGTAACTTTTTGACTTTTTGACTAAAATATGATGTAAAAAAAACTAGTATATTTGGAATGACTTTTTTGGTTTTTTACAAAAAGATATGCAAAAAAAATAGAAAGAAAAGAAAATCTTTGACGTTTTGGTATAGGTTGTTCACTTTTTAATTTTTTTAGTGACTTATTGACTTTCTGGCTAAAATCACCACTTGCCAAACGAGGCCTAAGTTGTAAATTCCTTCCAAAACAATTTATATGAGATATAAATTATTTCTATTTTATATTCCAAGATGGGATAATTGCACTTTATCCTATTGTTTCAATTTGACCTTCGGTGCAGTTTGACTTTGGCTTTAAACGTAGTTTTAATTTGATTTTTTTATAAAAATTAATACATAATAATATGATAAATTTTGATTTTATCACATTAAGACAATTAGTGTAAAATTTATGCTATACATGGGTAAGTAATAAAAGGTAATAAATAATATTAAATACGTTAAAAATTAACTAATACTATGATATTAAGTTTTTTTTGGATCTATGATGATATTAAGTTAGATGGGTATTCCAATAATAGATTTGATTAATTTCATTACGTTTATGTAGCTATGCAGGACTAGTTCAATTCTTTTTGAAATACATTCAATCGGATAAACTTAATTGAAATGGGCATTTTTTCATAAATCTCTTTTCACCTACTTATGTTCTATTTAGTCCATATTATTTTCTTATATTCTAATAAGTCCTATGGATTACATAGTTACTAAAATACTCCTAATAATATTCACATTTACAGTGTGAATGTTTCATGATGTGAATGTTCACACTGTCAATGTGAATATTCACATTGTAAAATATGAATGTTCACATCGCCAAATTGCTAACCGTTTAAAAAATATTTGTAAGGGTAAAAATGTTCATAAAATACGTTAAATATGAGAATTAGGATTTGGTAGATCAAATGTTCAAATAATAGGACTTATTGGAATACAAGAATATCTTATGGACTAATTGGGATATAAACACTCGAAAAATAATTTTTTAATAAATCTCCCTAATTGAAAAGGAAGAGTAAGAGTGAAATTTTATAAATATGTTAGATTTTTTGTATTTGGCAATCTTATCGGACAAAAATACCTTTCAATTGTAATTGCTTTCGGTTTTTTTTTTTTTTTTTTTTTTTTTTTTTTTTTTTTTTTTTTTTTTTTTTTTTTTTTTTTTTTTTTCGATATCTATGAGGCTATGAGTTCAAATGCGAATCCAATTCGAGTTGTGGCTGAATAAAGGAGTTTGTGCTGACGTTTCGTATCTTGACTTGAGCAATCATTGTTTGCTTCTTTGTAAACTATGCACGGGTTACAGGGGTCCAGGGCTGCGCCTAGACAGGATCGAAAGGCAACACCCTCGAAACTAAGATGTCAAAGTTGATGAATCGCTCGAGCGGTAAAGTAGTTCATTCAGTATCTCAGCTTATGTTCTAAATTGGAAAGCATGTTTTACCACTCGAGTGGTAGATGTTGCGCTTGAGCTGTTGGACTATATGTGACCACTGCCTACAGTCTCATCGTTTGAGCAGTAAAGTGAGCGCTCGAGCGGTATTTGCGGTCCTATTTAGTATAAAGTGCGTCGTTTGTTTATTTTAGGGTTTAACCCATTTAAATTCTCAGAGAGAAGTAAAAACAAAGTGTTTTATATTTGAGGGTGTTTATATATGAGTTTCGTTGATAAAAGATGATAGATTGATCAACAAATTACATATTGACAAATATCAAGGGTTGTTTTTTTTCTTTCATTCACAAAAAAAATAGAGATGTTCATCGGTGGATTCCGGGAAACTTGGGCATAAAGCTTTGGTGGATTCTGGAGTGACTCATTGTCGTGGATTTGACATTGATACTATGGATTCAACGTTGCGCAAAACAATTCTGAGGTGAAGACGGTGATGGAAGAGGCACATCGAGTTGGGTTCAATTTGGGCTTGGATTTGCTAGGTAATTGAGGAATTTTGTTTATAATTTTTTTGTCTTCTTAGTAGATTACTTTGTGATTTTGGCCCGTAATTTTTTAATCACAATTGGAGATACTCCAATTATGATTTTTTCCACGTTATATTGTTATGTTGATTTGTCATTGTTTGTTTGTAGATATAATTCAATTTTTGACTAATTGAATTAGATTTATGAATGTTTGATTGGGAATTGTTATTCATTATTTAAAATTAAATTATAATCACAAATCAATATCTAGTGGGTTTTAAGATTTTTCATATAAGATTAAAAAGAAAAATTAAGTTTAAATTTGAAGATAAACTATAAGAATATAGAAAGAGAAAATTACATAAATTCTCGAAAAAAAAAAACTCAATTGAAAATCAAGAGTAAGAGTGGATTTTGCAAATATAAGATAAAGATATAAAAATCAATTTTAAATTTGAAGATAAATTATAAGAATATAGAAAGAGAAAGTTAAATAAATCCTAGAAAAACGAGGTAGAGAGAAATTCAATAAATATCAAATGAAGATTGAAAGAAAGAGATCAAGTTGAAATTTAAAAATTTAAAAGTAAAATAAGATAAACCTAGAAAAACAAATGTAATATAACCTTAATAATAGAATAACAGAAGAGGGTAGTAGTTTAAAAGTTGGATAAGGGTGAAATGTCACCTATAATTGTTTAAAATTTATATAAAAAAAAATTTCAAAAATAAGAACTGTGATATAGTTGGATAAAAATTAGATAAAAGTTAAATGCCACCTATAATTTTTAAATTTTAAATTTCGCGTAGTTGAAAAATAAGCATTTATGATATTTTATTATACAATTTTTAACTCTATTTTGCGTCTATTACTTATAAGTTTAGGGTAAATTATTTATGTAACGCCCCGAA